ACCGGGCCGGCCCGGTCTTGACACTTCTATACAAAATTTTAATTCTTCATTAAGATGCTATGTAAGCCCAACTTCTGACCACTCCTTTTAGTGACTCATGGCTGAGGTTTCTCCTGTACAATGCGTGCTGCATGCATTAATCTCGTTTTTCTATTACTCATCTGTCTTTTGTGAGTCTAATTTACCAGGGCCCCAGCTGGTGATCTGAAGATGGATGGTAAGAGGAGAAAGATTTTTTCCCTACCTAATGAGGGTCACCTGAAGGTGAGCAGAAGGGGGTCCAGAGGGGCGTCCAGCCTGCAGCTCTGCAGGTGAGGAGCCTAGCAGGTGTGGGTTCTCCATCCAGCCGCATCATTTCCAAAGAACAGACAGTACATCAGTAACATGGGCCAGCTTGCTTTGGGGGGATGGTTCTAGATTCTTCCAGCAGTTCTCAACCACGGCCAGGTATAAACATGGCATACACAGGAACAGAGTGGAGACATCCCCCTCCAATTGGGAGTGCGGTGATGGCACCTCAGCTCTAGTCAGTCCCGGGCTGCAAAGTCATGAGAACTATCTGGATCTCGGGGCACAGATTTCTCTTTCCTCTGCCTTTCTTTATCCTCTAAGTGGGCCTGACAACCTGAAAATATGTCCTCGATCCTATCACTGGGGATCAGTGTGTTTTCAAGTGCAGCCTTCTACCTGCAGCTGCAGCAGCATCACCTGGGATTTACAGAAATGCAGATTCCTGGGCCCCACCCAGACAGGCTAAAATGGAAGCTCTGGGGGCAGGAAAGCTCAGCGGTCAATGCTGCCATTGGGATCTGACATATGAGGATCCTGTGCTGTTGGACGTGGCTAGTTGTCTTGGGGGAGCATTATCATCACTGCACAGGTTGTAGATACAAGATGCCCATGGTTCAAAAAGTTGGGAGAACCTGGCCAATGACCATCAGGACCTGGAGCTGGGGAGCAGGGTTAAATCAGAGATGCTGTAAGGTTTTTTTTTTTTTTTTGAGGGGCACTCGATGGGGCAGAGGCTTGCTGAGCCCCATCCAAGCTCCTCAGAGCCACGTCACTCTGCTCTGCACTTCACAGGATGTGGTTTGAGTGGTCTCTGATGAGCCGCCCTGCCTGTGATCTCTGAAGGTAATGTGGCCTCCTCCCCGAAATTAGCCTGAAATTGGAGGCTCCTTCCATCCAGACCCCAGACCCAGATCCATGTGCCTGGGTAAAAACCCTGCTCGGTGCCTGTCAGTGTCCCGAGTTGCTCCTTGGTCGAAAGTAGGACAGAGCTGGAGTTCGCCTTCCAGAGTGGCTGCAGTAGGGATCAGTTTTGGTGGGGAGTGGATGAGTGAATTAGAGAATTAGAAAGGACCCTGGCACACGGGAAGGACATTCCAGTGTTGCACGTTAGTCGATAGTTTGCACGTGCAGCCTCCAGGGGCCTTCGCTTCCACCGGGGTTGGCCGGGGGCCAAGGGGGGGGGGGGGGGGGGG